AAACTATCACAACTTACCCAGTATAAAATAGATAATATGAATAGCCTCATAACTATTAAGAAATGAAATTTGTACATTTAAAGCACTCAAAAAAGAAATCTCAAGGCCGAGATGGTTTCACTAGCAAATTCTAACAAATGTTGCAAGAAGAAACAATACCAACTCTATGGTCTTCTAGAAAGTGGAAAGGAGGGAACACTTCCCGATTCATATCTATGAAGCCAGGTATCAGAGATAAAATCTGATGTTGTTGCCACTATTTTCATGGAATTTAAAGTCTAATGAGAAGGTGTGATCTCTACTAAGGTGCCTGGCAGAAGCATCTAAATCTATCCTGGCTGGTGTTAGGCTCAAGGATGGCATCAAGTTTTAGATGTTCAAGTCAGTAAGATAGTCTATGAAATATGGAAATCTGTAAATGCCAGAGGAAACAGCTAGAAGGGTCCCAAGTAAACTGTCTCTAGGGTGAGAGGCTGAGGTAAGGGAGAATGAATAAGTGGCAGAGTCACAACATCTTACAGTAAGCCTTTAGGTACCATTTAACTTTGTAAACTCTTTGTATATGTTAACCATGATACAATAAAACCCAACTTCAAAAAACAGTGTAGAAGCACAACATCTGATCCAAACAAAATGGCACAGACCCATTTCTCTGCTCCTCCCCAGTAAATCCAACTATAAAACCCTGGCAATAAAGCAAGAGCCAACCAAAGGAGAGCTCTGAAAGGTATTAAGAAATGGGGGGGGGGGCAGAGCAGCAATGGGAGCTGGCTTGGGACCCAGTACTGGAAAAACAACACAGTGGCACATCTCAGGTGTTCACAGCCAGCAGAAGAAAACCACACAGGCCCAAAGTTCCTAACTCTCAACTAAGCAAGAGAAGGGAGTCCACTAAGGCTTGCCCACCTCTCCCCCATGGCAGGAGCACCACATCAGGAGAACCCAGTACCAACCAGAGAGACTGAAGAGGCCCTCTCTCATTGGGGGGGGAGGGCTGGGGCTGTTCTGGGCAGTACCAGTAATGGGAATCCTACCACAACATCTGCTGGCCTAGGAAGCCTCTGTGCTCCTCAAGCCCGAGACTCCTCTCTCCCACCAAGGAGACCGCCAGGCAGCACTAACAAGTGCAACCCCATCATATAAGAGGCCCAGTCCAGAAAACCTCTTTTTATCCACAGCCTGAGACTCCCCGGCCCTGCCCCAAAACACCAGAGCAGCCAGGTGGCACCAGCAAGAGGGATTCTGCCACAGAAAGCCTTTTGCCATGATGGGAATGAGACTCCTCTTCTCCCAGAGATACTAGGGTAGCCAGGGGTCATATGGAGGGGACACAGCCACAACCAGTATCTAAACAAGGAAGGCTCTTCATCCCCTGGACCTGATACTTCCATCTCTTACCCTTTTTTCTCCTTCTTCCCCTCACACAGCACCAGCAGAGACCACCAGTGAGAGCCCCAGCAGTACCAAATAAACTAAGCAGACCAAAGATCACAGCACAGTCTCTAAAAATTAAAATGTCATTAGAACCACAGTCCACAATGGAGGCCAGAATCCATGTGCTAAAGCCAAACAGGTGGCTGCACACTAAAATAAGGACATAAATAGGACCCAGATTCTCCTAATTGTATCTCCAAGATACAATTTTAAAAATCCATCATACCAGGAGTCAGACATTCACAATTTGAATTAGAAATGACAATCAAATGACACCAACACTGAGATAACTCAGATATTGGAATTATGTGACACACATTTGAAAGCAGCAGGCAAAAAAAATGCTTCAACAATCAAATAAAAATTCTCTTGAAACAAACAGTAGTTAACAAAACTGAAAAACAGAGTTAACAGAAATAAAATCTCACTAGATGAGAAGAGTAGTAGGAAGGAGATGATTGACAGAGGATAGAATTGAGGAACTCGAGAACAGATGAACAGAATTTACATAATCTGGACAACAAATAGAAAAGAGACTGGAAAGAAAAAAGAGCCTATGGGAATTATGTAACACTAACATAAGATCCAACTTACTCATCATTGGAAATCCAAATGGAGAGAAGAAAGGTAGTGGGAACGAAAGAGCAGTTGAAGAAATAATGGCTAAAAAATCCTGAAAGTTGGTAAAAGGCAAAAACAGCAGATTAAAGAAGCTTAATGAATAACAAACAGATAAACTCAAAGAAATCCACGACAAAACACATCATGATTAAATTTCTGTAAACTAAAGGCAAAAAAAAAAAAAAAAAAGCAAAAACTTGAAAACAACCAGAGAGAAATATGTTATCTATAAGAGAACACCAACTAGAGTGTCAGTGGTTTCCTAATCAGAAACCATGGAAGTAAGAAGGAAGTGGCATAATAGTTTTCTTGGTTTTTTGTTTTGTTTTGTTTTGCTTGTTGTTTTTTTGAGTTGGAGTCTCACTCTGTTGTCCAGGCTGGAGTGCAGTGGCATGCTCATGGCCACTGCAGCCTCACCTGCTGTGCTCAGGTGATCCTTCCAAATAGCTGGAACTACTGGCACGTGCTACCTTGCCCAGCTAATTTTATTTATTGTAGAGACAAGGTCTCGTCATGTTGTTCAGACTGCCTCAAACCCCTGAGCTCAGGCAATCCTCTCGTCTCTGCCTCCCAAAGTGCTGGGGTTACAGGCATAAGTCACCACACCCTGCAAGATTTTTCAAGTGCTAAAAAAAAGGACCATTAACCAGAAACTCTATATTCAACAAAACATCCGTCAGGAATAAAGGGAAAATAAAGATATTCTCAAGTGAAAAAAATTTAAAGACTGGTAATGAATTTTTAAACAAAAAGAAAACAATAGAGAATTGTGGAATATCGAGGAAGCAGAACAACAGAGGAGAAATACGGGTACATACAATAGAATATCCTTATGATCATTAATTTTATAAATCATATCTGACTACTGAAACAAAAATTATACCATCTGATAATCAGAACATGACATTTAATGTGGGGACCTAAATGAAAGAAGGTTTCCACACTTCTAAGTCACATATGCATACTATAATATCCAGAGCAAACACTATGTAAACTATACAAAAACTTAATCTCAAAAATATTGTACAAATATCAAAAGACAAACACAGGAATGAGAATCAGAAGAAACAACAGATAATAAAAACGAACACTGAAGTTCTTAAATGTAAATGGCCTAAATGCACCAATCAAAAGATGGAGAGTGTAAGAGTGGTTTAAAAAATAAGACCCGGCGGGGCTCGGTGGCTCTGCCTATAATCCCAGCACTTTTGGAGGCTGAGGCGAGTGGATTGCCAGAGCCCTCGGGTTTGAGACCTCATCTCTACAATAAATCAAAAAATTTAGACGGGCATGGTAGCACGCGCCTGTATTTTCGGCCACTTGGAAGGCTAGGGGGAAGGATCGCCTGAGTACAGCAAGGCAAGGCTGCAGTGGGCAGAAGCGTGCCACTGCACTGCACTCCAGTCTGGGAGACAGAGTGAGACTCCAACTAAAAAAAAAAAAAAAACCCAACAAGAAAGTAATTTCAAATTCAACAACATAGGTAAGTTGAATGCTAACACCATACAAGCATTAACCCCAAAAAAGCATGAATGGCTACGTTAATATCTAATAAAAATTTCAGAGTAATAAAATCAAGAGAGACAAAGAACATGATATTGATTATACTGATAATAAAAGGAACAAGTCACCCAGAAGACATAAGGATCTTGAATGTATATGCACCAAATAACTGATAGAGTTTCAAAATACATGAAGTAAAAATTGATAAATTCAAACTATTTTGCAACATTTCCAAATAATCAACTTCTAAAATTAACCAGAGAATTACTAATGCAATTACTCCTACACCAAGGAGAAAAAGGCAAAGTGGTAGTTCTGGAGAACCCACATCCAGCCAAGCACTGAAAAGGAGCACCTTGCACAGGCTCTCCTGTAATACTCAATAATCCCCTGAGAAAAAATACTTCCCACCATTTTACAGATGAGGAAATTATGTCTTAGAGATTAAGTAAATTCCCTGAGATTCAAACAGCCTGTAAGTAAATGAACATTCAAATCAGCTCTATAACATTACAATACGTACTCTTTCAGCTTTATGTTAGTCTCTCAAACAGCCCAAACTACAGATTATTCAAAACTCAAATTCTGAAACAATATGATATTGAGTGAAATCTGTATTTTTTCCTTCGTGTATTAAAGGTTAATTACTTTTACAATGCCTCTGGAATGAACAAAATTTCACTAACTATAAGAGACGATGCTCTCCTTTTTAAAGTCTTGTTTTAAAAACTTAATATTCTTTCTTTGGGTGAGAAACAAATTTAAAATGAGCTAAGTCCATTCGAGGGTATGAAACTTGCACTTTAAATCAAAAGGCTGCACATATTAATTATACCACTAAACTGTGGTACCACTTAATAATTTAACCTTTCTGAATCTCTATTTCCTATTTCTAAAAATAACATTTCTTGTCGACAAAAAGGGCTTTTTACATACATGTTTAAGTTAAAGGTGTACTTGGTAAATCGAAATGACTTCACTTGCACTTCACGTTTGTGAAAATAAGCCATTTCGATAAGGTGTGTACCTCTAACACTGTATCTAAGAGTCGTAGCTGCCATACACACTTCACACGGCTACGCAAGTTTCGGAGACCAGCGATCTGTGAGTCCTCAGTGTGGGCTTCCCTTTCCTACTTGGAGAGCAGTGACCTCAGAATCGGGCTGCTCTTCCCATTTTTGAACGGTCTGTGGGTCCCAGGCACACACAGGAACACTAGCGCTCCCGACCCCTCACTCGGGGTGGACACACAGCCGAGCGGAGGCGGGCCGAGTGGACATGACCAGGAGGGCACACAGCGGGAGCGGCCGGGGCGGCGACCCCAGACCCCGCCCGGATCCGGAGCTCTGGGCGGCACCTGGCTCCCCGCGTGGTGGGTCAGCTGGGGAAACAGCGGGGAGGGGGGCCGAGAGAGGCCGGGCGCCGGGAGGTCCTTGAGTTACCTGCCGTGCCGGTCGGCCCCCGGCCCGGGCCCCACGGCGCTGTAGTAGGCCGTGCGCTTGCGGTTCGCCGCGGTAGCCGCCGCGGGGCTGCGAAAGGGGTACAGAGGTATCTGGTCCGCCATGTTCCGGCCACCCCTTCCTGGCCCCTCCCGCTCTCCGCCAATTCGCCGCCTTTTCTCCGCCCTCTCCCCTCAGCGCCAACCCGGGCTGAGGCACCGCTCACGCGTCCCTCCCGCCCCGCCTAGCGTCGAGGTACGATGACGCCACAAGCGCCTAAAGACGTAATGCGGAAGGCGTGGCGTCCCAAGACCCAGCTAGCGCAGAACGTCGGCGCCCGATGACGTCCCGGGGTGGCAAAAGCGCGCCGCGGGAGGCGATGGGTCCCGAGCCCCTGCCCCGCCGAGCGCCCAGGCAATGACGTCACTGGTAGCAAAAGCTGGGGGCGAGAAGCGTGTTGTATCCAGGCCCCGCCTCCTTGAGCGTCCGGCCCAAGACGTCACGGAGCGGCGAAAACGTAAAGTGGGAGGTGGGGCTTTCCGGGATGGGCGGGGCGCGCATGCGTGGTAGGCTTATAGTCAGGGCCCCCTCCTTGGTCCTCCCGGGCGGCATGTTGGGAAATCCCGGACCCTCGTGGAGTGTTAGCTCGGCCAAGACAAGCTGTCTCTTGTCTGAGGAGCTTCTCCGCCGTCTCCCGGAAGCCCAACGGGAAGCATCTGTGGGCGCCCTCCAGGTGTGCTGGGTGCGGCCCCCGGCAGATCACGTGGCCCGTCGCGGGGCTCAGAGAGCCCTAGCGGTCCTATTGCCTCCGCCTCCTCGGAGGGAGCCTACAAACCGCCCCAACCGTCGGGTCCCCTCCTCACCCTCCCCGAGGGGCTGTCTTCCCCCAGGATGTCTTGTCCCTGCCCCAGCCCCCCTCTCCAGCCTCGGTGAAATGAGGCCGGAGCTGGTTCCCCTCCTACATTCGGGGTTCACATCTTGCTCCCCACATTCTGATTTGTCACCCCTCCTGGGATCCTCCCTGGTCTTCTATGAGGTCTGCATCTTCCTACCTCTAGGCCACGGCCTCTGAAAAGCCTTAGGCTGCTGTCAGACACTCGGTGGTGGGCTCACCCAGCAGGACAGCCTCAGCCTTCCCTTCCCGGAACCAGGAGGATGAACTACTCTCCCCTCTCTTTTTTCTGGTCTGTTAGCTTTGTTCTCCCTCTCTCTTTTTTTTTTTTTGAGTTGGAGTCTCACTCTGTCTTCCCGGGGGCTGAAGTGCGGTGGCATGTTTACAGCCACGGCAGCCTCGACCTGCTGGACTCTGGTGATCCTTCCGCCTCAGCCTGTGGTGGAACCACAGGCGTGCGCCACCATGCCCAGCTAATTTTTTTATTGTAAAGACGAGGCCTCGCCATGTTGCTCAGGCTGGTCTCGAACCCCTGAGCCCAGGTAAGCCTCTCCCCTCCGCCTCCCAGAATGCTGGGATTACTGGCGTGAGCCACTGCGGTTCTCTTTTAAGCCCTACTATGTTTTTCTGATACTCCATAGCATAAATTTTGGCTATGTGTTTGAAACACTGCTCAACAGGAACTTCTAGATTCTAGGGTCATCTTGACTGAGGTCTTCATATAGTTTTCATTATTAAAAGATGTTTTTGTAAAGACTGAGGGATAGCCTTAATTCGTTGCTCTGGGTTTCTAGTTGCCAGTTTCCTTCTTAGCTGCTTTCTATGGGGGCTTGAATACAGGCCACTTCATGGACACTGCTCACAAGGACACCAGTTGACCTGATTGAAAATGAACTTTTTCCATTACCTTGCTAGACTCTGGTGTGGCCATGTGCTCTTTGAGCTATGACTATTGCCATGCTTCTTGGCTTTGGCACCCTCCCTCAACCTGGGGAGGTTAACCTTCTCTCTCTCATTCTCTCTCTCTCTCATTTACTATTAAATAAACTTTTTTCTAATCCTAAAAAAAAGAAAAAAAACATTCATTCTTCCTCTACCTCAGTCTCACTAGAGCAACTGACTGTTCATATCGTCTCCTCACCCACATTTAACAACTGACACTGTTGTCACATTTTCTTACTCTCAACGGCTGATCCTGAAACACCATCTCATTCTTTTTTTTTTATGAGTTGGAGTACCATCTCATTCTTAACAAGTGACCCTGTTTGCACAATCTCATCACCCTCAACAACCGTCTCCTCATCCATATCCAACAACTGATATATTGATAACATCTCATTCTCACACAGCTGACACTGAAACACCATCTCATCTTCAATGCCTGACACTGCTCACACCATCTTCTCACCCATTCAACAATGGATACATTGATAACATCTCATTCTCACACAGCTGACACTCAAACACCATCTCATTCTGAACAACTGATATGTTCACACATCTCCTCATCCTCAACAACTGACACTGTTCACAATCTTCTCACCCTCAACAACTGACACTGACAACACCATCTCTTCACCCTCAACAACTAACACTGATAACACCAACTCCTCACCCTCAACAAAACTAAAACTGTCCTCACCTTCACTCAACAACTGACACTGATAATACCAACTCCTCACCCTCACTCAACAACCGGTATTGTACACACCAGCTCCTAACCCTCAGCAACTGACATTGTTCACACAATCTCTTCACCCTCAACAACCGGCACTGATAACACCATCTCCTCCTCACCCTCAACAACTGACACTGGTAACACCATCTACTCAACTTCACTCAACAACTGACACTGGTAACACCATCTACTCAACTTTACTCAACAACTGACACTGATAACACCATCTACTCAACTTCATTCAACAACTGACACTGATAATATCGTCTCCTCACCCTCAACAACTGACACTGGTAACACCATCTCCTCACCCACATTCAACAGCAGACTCTGATAACACCAGCTCCTTACCCTTACTCAACGGGCATTGTTCACACCAGCTCCTTGCAAATTTTTCCTCCTTAAATGATGTTTTGACTAAGACAGCCAGCTCTTTTTTACCTACTCTCTCTCTCAGAAATTCCCCTTTCACCACTTACCACTTTAGGTAAATAACACTCATGTCTTTTTTCCTCATTCTGACCTCTCCTGGTTTCATTTCTGAACTGCTTACTCAATTTAGCAAAATTTTGCATTCCAATTGCATGCAAATGTCAACAATGGAGTTTATGGGAAATATCAACATGACTAAGCTCATGTGCTATCTGCCCTTTAGGATGTCTGGTGGGTAGGGAGACACGGGTAAACTGTATTATTACTTAGGACACAATTAAATACTTGCTGTAACAAAAGCATAAAGCTGTATTATCTGAAATCTTAGCTGGAAAAACATAGCACATAGCTATTAATATTTACAGAGGGCCAGGCTTGGTGGCTCAGCCTGCAATCCCAGCACTTTGGGAAGCAGAGGCAAGTGGACTGCCTGAGCCCGCGCGTTCAAGACCAACCCGGGCAACTTGGCGAGACCTCATCTTTACAATAAATAAAAATTTAGCCAGGCGTGGTAGCGCACGCCTGTAGTTCCTGCTACTTGGATGGCTGAGGCGGAAGGCTCGCCGGAGCCTAGCCGATCGACGCTAGGGTGGCCGTGAGCGTGCCACTGCATTTCAGCCTGGGCGACGGAGTGAGACTCCAACTCAAAAATAAAATAAAATATTTACAGAGGTGAGGGTTGGAATAAGAAAGCCAAATACGTTTGATAAATTAACTGAGATGAGCCATAGTGGAAAGCTCTTATCACCCCAAGACCAATGAGATTAGATAAGTAAACAGTGTCTGCCTTGAATAGAATCTATCCTGAGCTAGGACCCTGGGAGCAAGGTCACCCCAAGGGGAACAAGGATCCAGAGCACATGAAGGCACCCGACTGGCAGAGAAAATCCTCCTGCCACCTGTTTGGTAAATGAAGTTTTTTGGAACACAGCCCCACTAATTTGTTTATATATTATCTATGAAGCTCTCAAACTACAATGACAGTGTTAAGTAGGTGCTACAGAGGCCGTACTACCTGCAAAGGCTAAAATATGAACTATGTGGCCCTTTACAGAGAAAGTTTTCACATTCCAGTTATACAGGAATACAGACATGTCCAAAACCTGGTGCTGTCGGCCTGCGTGTTATACATGGGACAGCACCATCATGAAATATTTCTGTCGCAGCAGAAGGTTCCATTGGACAGCGCTACCCTAGAGCAATTGCTAAGAAATAATAAAACAATGTCTAACAAGTTAATGAGGGAGGAAATGGAATAGTAAAAATACTTTATTAACCTAAGGAAGCCTGAAAGAACTGCAAAGAAAAAAAAGAGCAGATGGAATAAATAGGAAGCAAATAATAAGATGGTGCTGGCAAACCTGAATGTCAATGTATGTATCCATCTCCAGAGGAACCCCCCGAAAAAAACCCCAGAATTTAGTTATTGTGTATTTATTCTTGTTTAAACTTCAGTCACCTTTAAAATACTCTCCATTTGATGCAATACACTTACTGAGATGTCTTTTCCACTGCTCAAAACAGTTTTTGAACTCATTCATTTGGTACCTACCACTTTTTTGTTTCACCTCTTCCACATTGGAAAAACATTTCCCTTTGAGGACTTTCTCATCTGGAGAAACAAAAAAAAAGTTGCTCTGAGTGAGATCAAATGAATAGAGAGGGTTGGGTATGAAGGTTATGCCATTTCGGGTCAAAAACCATTGAACATTCAGCATGGTATGGGCAGATACATTGTCATGGTGGAAGAACTAGTCACCTGTTTACCACAACTCAGGATGTTTCTTCCACAAATCATGATTCAAAACTTCCAGATAAAAACTTTGATTGAGCGTTTGCTTCAGAGGAACAAATTCCGAGTATACTACAAGAAGCCCACCCTCAAAAAAACAAAGATAATCCTGGTTTTTTGGGTCCCCCCAATAAATGTAAACAGACTAAGTACTTCGATAGAAAGTCAGATTGTCAGGTTGGGTTAAAAATAAAATTCAACTCTATGCTTGAGGTCTCAGAGATCTCACATTAAATATAAAGACAAAGAAAAGTTGAAGCCGGGTTTGGTGACTCAGCCTGTAATCCCGCGCTTTGGGAGGCTGAGATGAGTGGATTGCCTGAGCCCGCGGGTTCGAGACCCACCTGGGCAACTTGGCAAGACCTCATCTCTACAATAAATCAAAAAATCAGCCGGGCGTGGTAGCGCGTGCCTGTAGTTCCTGCTACTCAGAAGGCTGAGGTGGAAGTATCGCCGGAGCCCA